AGAAATTTGTTTGTTTAAAACGTATAATTATGCAAAAATAAAAGTGATCGAGATTTTATCCTTAATTTTATCCTTTAGATGCGCCATTTTGCCCGGACATATTTGTCCCAGTCAGACTTTTTTGGAACATATATTGGGACTATAATAACCCATCAGTCACCAAATTCTTAGTTTATTTTAGTAAAGAAAAATACAAATAAAGTCTCATAATTTGACAACAAAAAGACTAAAACTAAGATCAATATTTAATGAAAATAAAAAGGTGTGAAACATGTTTTGCACAAGGGTATATTGCAGCTCTGATATAGTGTGGTGGTTCGTTTTTCTTTTTTCTGAGAACATCGTTGAAATCTTCACGGGTCTTTCCTTCGATAGGTAAATGATCTCCCACGTTGAACATTTTTTTTTGTTCTTTGCTGGAGGACGTCCAAGTGAAGTCGAAGCTTTTCTTTTGACAACAGCATGGCTTCTTTCAATAAGTCCCTCTGCTAAACTAATTAGAAAAGGTTAAAATTGTGTTTTTCCTTTTTTTAGATCATTGTGTAATACATGAGAATTACCAACAGTCATCATCACAAGCCCACAATATGATCCAGCTCCACGCCGCCCATTTTCTTATTGTACATGTCGGGAAGTTCAGGACATCGCACATTTATTTTAGAGCCATTCTTAATTTTTCGTTTCATTTCTACTTGCTTACTTGGTTGCTACGCACCTTCGCCTTCTTCATCATTTTTGTCACAACTGCTTCGTTCTTCACTTTCGTCACTTGATCATCTGATTCTTCTTATCCATTTTATTGCACACGAAACATGAATATATTTTGTGATGCTCGCGTTTTATTTCTTCTTTGTATCCTGATGGATTGTAGTCTTCATCATCGGAGCCACTTATGTCAAAAGGACCGACTTCTGATTATTGATTATGAATTGATATGATTATTGATTATGTATCGCTCTAGCTGTTTCTGCGTTACTATCTTTCTACTCATCTAGAACAAAACCAGACTATTGGGACACATATAACCCATCATAAATGTTTGTTGGGACATATTTCACCCACAAAACAAAATACTAGTTTTATTGAATAAATTTACCTTTTTTTCTTGGTAGCTCCACTCATAAAAACAAATTCGCAACAACAAAACAGCGCAAAACTTTCCCTGTGGTAATCATCAACAAAAGTACATAAACACATTCCGCAGATCAACATCACCGGAAAATACAGCGCGAATACTGTTCGCAATGTTGCCTCTTACACAAATTATTCTTTTAAAATTGTTATTAAGTTCTTAAAAAGTTGGTTACGATAAAAATTTATGTAAAATGGTTTCAACCATGGTAAAAATTTAGTCCAACAGATTTGATGATTTTATGACTGGAATACATACGTCCCGTCAGACTCGATAGGGTTAAATATAAAGTTATCTAAATCTAAAACACGTCTCTGCATTTTTGACTGCAATACAGAAACACACTCTTTGAAATTAGAATCAGTACTAAATTATGCCAACCTGACAATAGATCATTTTTATTTTAATAATTATAGAGCAATTTACTTTCGTACTTCTTATGTTGCACATTAAAATGTTCGTTATCTCGATAATCCAAAACAGTCGTACATTTATGGAATATATTGTACTTCCTTTTCTATCTGCACATCTTGAGGTTCTTCTCTATTTTGGGCTAGTGTATCACTAAGAAATGGCAACTTGATACTGATTTATTCCGCTATCTAAAAACCAAATAAACTTTATTTTGTTTAGTTATATATAATTTGATTCCAATTCATTCTATTTTTGAAAGATCTATTATAATTTGTTATACCTTGTGTCATAACAAATTATAATAACGAGTTCTCTTGTCAATCTAGTTATACATAATAACTATCTAGCAACATAGGCACAATATTGTGTGGTGGTGTTTGTATCGATACGATTCGTAATACGATTTAGCTTCTCACTGCATTTATTTTGAACGAAAAGTGAGTTAATAGAATATTGATTTTGATTGTGGATATGACGAAAAACAGCAATGTATAAAATTAAGTGTGTTGAAAAACCAATCTTTGGTAAATGTGTAATGTAAAGAGAATAGACAATTATGGCTGTGTTATATATTATAAAAGTATTTCATTGTGCAGAAATATATCGTTTAAAGTATTGAATTTGTTTCATTTGAAATTTTTTATTCTAGGATTATTACTTTCGTCACTATAATTATATGAAATGGAAATGTGTCTTAAATACAGTAAATAAAGTGCTAATTTCCTTTATAGGAGTAACAAGGAAAGGAACTGAATCTTGGCATCTAAAGGATTTATATTTATTCCCAAGACAAGAATCACCTGTACGAACAACTGCTAGTGGTACTTCCGATTCTATAGATTCTTGAAACAGTTGAGGTAGTCTGCTAATATGACCAGGTCGTCTGCGTAAGCAATTGGCTGTATTCCCTCTCCTATTTATCTTCAATATGTCATTATAGGGCACATTCTAGAGCAACGGACCTAGGACCGAGCCCTGTGCCATTCTCGCAGATGTCTGCATTGTGTCAAATTTAGTTATAATAATGCTCCTGTCTGTGAAATAATCCCTCACCAAGTTTTGCCGGTATGGGGATATTTCCATTTCTTCCAATAGTCTGATGATTTTCCCCCAACTCGCGTTGTTTAATGAGTTCTTGATGTCCAGGAAGAGTACCACCATCCACCTACCCCTGCATGCTTCTTGCTCCCCCACTAACCTTTTTATGGCAGATATGCATCTATGAACCCATACTGGCGGTCCGACAGACCTCCTTTTTCCTATTTCTTTTTCAAGCCTTGACTTTGAGGATTTAGAATAGCTTGCCTGCTGTATTTAGCAAATATATTGGCCAAAAATCACCTGGTTCTTCCATTTCTTTCCCAGGTAAAGGGATAAGGATAAGGTTTGCCGCTTTCCATAGCGTGGGGAATTTCTGTCTTCTAGTAGGTCGTTTTCACCCATTCAGCCTTTTCCACAATAATTATTTTTATTATTTCCGGCGCAATGCTGCCAAGCCTGGGTGCCTTCCCTGTTTTTAGTGCCTTTCTGCTGTCATTATTTCTTCCATTGTGAATTCGGTTTTTGGTGCCTCTGTAGGTATTATTTGGAAGGTTTCCTCCGCTCTTTGCGGAAACCTTGCTTCCTCTAGTTCTCTACTGCGCGACTGTCCTCTGATTTAAAGTTGTTTCCTTTGAGTTCTCTTGCTGGAATCTTATATGCGTCCCCTCAGATGTTATTTTTCACGCTTTCGCATAGTTTTTTTGAATCACCTTCACTTTTCACCGTTTATTTTTCTGGTTAGCTCTTTCTTTAAAGCTTTTAGTCATTCGGCCTTCTCTACTAGTCGATTATTTTTGTCTCTGGTGACTTTTCTTCTTCATTCGTTTTCATTTGGTCTTATAACTTCTATTTTATCTGTCCAACAGTATGAGCGGGTAGTCATTCTTCTCCTACTTGGCAATATTTCTCTACTAGCTCCCTTAATTATTTTATATCCAGCTTCACAATTATTTGGGTAATTTAATACATGGTATACAGCCAACTACAGCAACGTAGATTCCTTGTGGAAATTATTTGGGTGTTCCCCTATTCCCTGTAATTGTTCTTTTTAATTTTTTCTTGTCAATGAATTTGATTCGTCTTCCTTCTCCTGATTTTTATGTTTTCCTTATTCCCTATAGGATATATTTATGACATGTGAGGATTTCCCCTTCTACTATATCCCATTCTTCTACTATTCTTTATCAGGATGGTTGCCATCGTTACGTCGTTTGGCTCTCTCTTCTTTCGAATGTTGGCTTTTCGTTATTAATACGACCAAGTTCATATTTTAAATTACTTCAACTCATGTGCCTCTTCTTCTATCGTTTGCCGGTGCTCCCCAAAGTATTGACTTTGCATTAAGGTCTCTTGCTGTTAGTAACGTATCTTTCCCGGCTACATGCTTCGCTATATCGTCAACAGTGTTTTGGCATTCCCTCAAAATGATGATTAGGGAGATATATATCACAACCACCACGAAGATTCCAAGGTCTAAAATGAGGAATTCTTTGACATACGCTTGTCCCCAGTTCTTTATTTCTTACAAAGATGGCTACATCTTATCTCTTATCAAAAAATCAACCACTTTTGGTCGCTATTTTTTTATTTGGTTCAGATACAATAATCAGGTCCGCTGCACTTCTTTCCCTCGGATAGTGAGCATGTCATATGCTCATAAATATTTTTTAATAAATCCAGTAAAATTTAAAAACAGTTCAATGATATGTTTGGTTAATTTAGCCGTTTTGTAGTATAAGGATATTTTGTAATCTTTTTGCAATATTTTGAGAATATACAGATTCAAGTCATACGGTTCTCTCCCTTTCTCCAAGTAAAGTATTCACTCATCCCAGATACCTATATATCAAAAGAATTGATCGCTGGAGTACATTTTTCGTGTCACTCCGTGCTCTATGTGATCTGGTATCCTGGAGTATCCCCCCGATACCTACAGAATCAAATGGATTGAGCTATGATGAAACTCTTTCCATGTTGTCGAGCCCTAGGTTACCAGGTATGCCCAAGTATCTCCAGAAATTTTCTTATGCATCTGGATGTTTAGAGCAGTACCACTTTTTGCATAGTCGTATAGAGCTGTTCACTAAGATCTAGCTGTCTTTCTTCTCTAGGGGTTCTTCGGAATGTCACCAGTTGTAGAGAGAAAAATAGGTATCTTCTGCGTGCCATTCTCCATGGCTGTAGTTGCCATTTTCAAGCATACTGTCTCTTGCTTTATAATCACTTTGGTTTATATATAAATATACATAAAGTTGGTTTTTTGGTATAGGCATTTGTCTTTTGGACCTGATGGTCTGTGATGATAGTTAGTTAATTTTTGGTTGGAATAACCTGACCCTGAATGACGAAGAGGAAAGACGTGTATAATGTTCCGAGTCATTTTCATGTTATCTTTCGTGATGTCAGTCAGTAGTTAAAAGTTTATTGTCGACATAGTCTTGACTAACTTCATTGGAATGGCGTGGCGCTCGTGCAGAGACTTCCCTATGCAGATGCGATTTTTTTCTTCTGTAGATGGTTTATACGCATTTTTTCCCCTCAGTTTAAGCATTGGAATATCATCTATAGCGTAAATTGCCTTTTTTAAAGGAGATATCGCAGCCTGATTCTAAAAAGAAGTTTTTATATTAGCAAAACATGTTTTTCTATTTGCTCACCTATATCCATGAATCCTGTTCCTCCCATGTACCGCAGCAATGTACATTTTATTGTATTGCAAGGAGGTGTACTGTACTGATTTTGTGAGAAGTATTCTTATTTTTTGCTAAAAATTTTGATTGTTTTGTGATTAGGTATTTTGAATTAATTAGGTAAAATTGATGTAAAATCAAATAGCATTTTCGAACTATTTTGTTTTTCATTAAGATTCATAATGTTTATATTTAGCATTACTATTATTTTATTTTAGGTATGATCTTTAGCATGTGTGGTCTTATGATGCGTTTAAAATGGTGTGCCTGGGTAGCTCTGTATTGCTCCTGCATTAGCTTCGCCAATTCTAGGATTACAGATGACACGAAACAAGTAAGAAAACCGATTTTAAATTAGTTCTTAACTGAATTTGCTTTTATATTTTTAATTTCTATTTTCGAAAAAAGACGGAAAAACGATTGGAACATAATAGAACTTATTATATTTTTTATTTAATATATTTATGTAACGTCGATTTGGTTGGTAGGTACGTAGGTAGTCAGATAGTCATTTGAGAAATGGCCATTACGAGGTATTGGGTTCGGTAAAACCAACACAGAAGAGATGTTTACCAAACCCAACGTTCCCAAAAACGTCTGTACTGGCATTTTAGGAGACCACTTTAGGTCCATTTTTTATTGGGGACAACTTGAATAGTAGAGTATATCTCGATTTGTTACAGAATTATGTTCTTCCTGCTATTCTCAATCTTCCTGATGTATATCTGGAGAATGTTTGGTTTCATCAAGACGGATGTTCAGTTCACAACCCTCGAATAATTATCGAGTATTCAAACAATACTTTACCTAATCGAGTTATCAGTGGAATAGGCGATATTAAGTGACCTGCGCGATCTCCAGATCTTACACCCATGGACTCCTTTTTTTGGGGCTATTTAAAAAGCATTAATCTACGATCATCCTGAGGCTATAGCCCAAAATTTGAATTAATTAAAAAGTCGAAGGTTGAGTTTACCAAAAGTACAAGCCGATTATAGCCGCAAATGTCAAACATGGAACAAAACAGTGTTAGCATATTTTTATAATGTAGATGCTGTATGCTTTAAATATAAAAATATAAAGCTTTAGAACAGTATATTTTGTTTAGATTATGTTATAAATTCTGCAATTTTTGATTTATATAAAACAAGAATGAGTAAATATTTGTTTATTTGGAAATTAATTGCAGTTAATTATCGAAATTATTTTGGCAATTACCATTTGATTGATTAGGAGATAAATTTGGCAATCGTCAAATCAGCAGTTGCCACATTGCAACGGACATTTTGCAATTAATCTCGAAAGAGACAAATAATTACTCGTTATTGCTCATATAATTAAAAATTGAAGAATTCATAAAATAGTATAATCAAAATGTACTTTTAAAAGCTTTTCTCTTTATATTTGAAGCATACAACATATGCATTATAAAAACATCCCAACACTGCCAAACCCAAATATTTTTGACATTTGCAGCTATATTCAGCTAGTACTTTCGGTAAACTCAACCGAGTCGAATAAGAGAAGTCTCCAATTCTGTTATAGCAAAAACTCTTTCATCTGTCCGCAGAAGTTTTTATGACAGATTGGAGTACTGTTCAGCCGTAGAAGGTCAAATATTTGAATCATTTCTGCAGGACTAAAGAATTATTTTTTATTTTATTAGGAATTTTTTTTTATTTTCAATAAAAGTATATTTTTTGTTTTATCTTTTTAAAGAAATGCCCATTTATTTTTAATTCAACCACAAAAAATTGTTTATATTATTAAAAACCGATAAAAATACACTGGCCTCATAAAGTTAGTGTATTTTTATCGAGTCTATGTACTCTAAGAAATGAACGGTATACGTAATGAAAACAAATATCGAAGGACGGAGATGTACATCATGCGTTGTTGTGAGTTACTAAATGATTTCCTGTCGTGGTGTCTGATGGGATGTGAGAATTACAATTAGGGGAGAGGGGGGCAAGTTGTTACATAATTGATTCTATTATTTATTAGGGCAATAGTAGATCTTTTATATGAAAACTAAAATCGGATTAAGGTAGTTGATACATTTACACAAATAATGTTAATTTTAATTTATTTAAAAAATCATATTTAACATTTTGTTATTATCAATTTAACTCAACTTGTAAATTGTAACAACATACCCCACTATGAGGCAAATTGTTACAGTCCATGGGGTAAGATGTTACAATAGAAAAAAAAATCTAAAAACTTCCCACAACATTATTTAGTGGTCACAGAAAGAACCCTTGCTTAGCTACAAAAAATATTATAAACATAACACAAAATGAAATAAAATAAAAAATGAAAATCTGAACAAACCTGTTTACAAGAATGTTAAACTAGTCACTATCGGACGAGCAGTGAATACAAATATAAAAATCATCGTCTTTTCCACAAGCAATATGTGCCCACTTTTGACACACAATGCACCGAATCCATTCTTCGTTTTTGGACTTCGAAAATGGAGCTAAACATACCAGACACGTCGATTCCTCATCCTCTTCCGAGCTTTCAGAATCTGATTTTTTGAAGGTGTTTTTGGTAATGACGGTCCGTTTCTTACATTTTTTAACAGTAGTTTTTACCTTGTTTCTTAATTCACCTGATATGTTTCTTTTGGTTGCCCCCACATTTTTTTTTCTTTGTCTTGCCTTTTCTTCCTCCTCCAAAGCTGATTTAATGGGAGTATCAGTCAAAACAGCGCAAGTTCTTTTCTTCCGACCCCCTTTGGATTTCCTTGGCATTGCTTTTGGATAAGGCTTCAATTCCTGGGGCGTTATATGAGTAGGTGAATCGACAGGTTCATTTATCGCCAAGTTAAAATCTGTGCTTGTAGAAGGTTGCTGTTGGGAAGGAGTTCTATGTGTTTCGGTGCCAATAGGTGCCGGATCTATGACTACTGTTGCGTTTATATTTTCTGTTATTGGCCTATTTGTTACCTCTGCAGGCAAGAATTCATCATCTGGAAAAATTTCTCTGTTGTATGGCCAAATTCCTGTCACACTAAATCCTTTTTGTATATTGAGAGGTGTAACAGCAAGAGGAAATGAATCTTTAAGAACGATAGGTATATCGTAAATGTTCATTACTTTACCGGGATTAGATCTTAACCATGCATCTGCAGCACTATTAAAATATCTTTTAAGTGTGCCAAATACCGTCCTATCAAGCGGCTGCAACTTGTGTGATGTATGTGGCGGGAAACTTAAAAGAACCACTCCATTTTCTTTGCAAAAATTCAACACCGGAATAGACAAATGAGACTCGTGATTATCTAATACCATCAAAACGGGTTTCTCTTTGCTACATCGTACAAACTGGACGAAATGTTTCATAAACAACAAAAAGTTATCACATGTCATCCATCCAAAGGAATGAGACGCACCTACACAACCAGGAGGTCCATTGGCTACCATAACATCTTTGAATTTCTTTCTCGGAAATATTAAAAATGGAGGTACAAAATTTCCAGTTGCGTTGACAGCTAATACCAAGGTAACAAGTTGACCTCTTTCTCCAGATGTGATAGCACCTACCTGCTTAGTTCCCCTTTTTGCAATGATTTTTGTAGGCCTTTGGACAGTTGTAAGTCCAGTTTCGTCCATATTGTACACTTCTTGGAGCTCAAATTTATATTTATCATAAACTTCGCCGAGATTGTTAAAAAACTGTGACACATTATGACGATTAAACGCGGTAGCTCGACCCATACTAGTAGCTTCAGGTGTCCGGACTGATAAAGTTCGATGCCTCTTCAAAAATCCATATAGCCAGTCTCTGGAAGCTATTTCATTAACCTTCCAATTTTCCGGAACAGATATTTGGTTGGCTGTTGCATATTGAAATGCAAATTTTCTCAAATCAGAAGTTGTAAGACCGTAATAAATTTTAGCAGAATGCTCAGTATATTCGGCAAGTTCCTCTTCTTCAGCATTGTTAAATATTTTTCTGTCCGTAGCGTAGCCGACTAAGTTCTTGTTACTGTTTTCAGCACCTAAGTTTGATTTTCTTTTCATATAGCGGTGCAATGTCATAAAATTAACTCCATAGCGAGTAGCAGCATCCCTAATTGACAAGTGTTCTTGTAAAACCGATTGCGCCGCCCTTTTAAATTGTTCGGTTGGAATAATACCCCTTGTGGTTTTCTTGGTATACGTTCGCACCATGTTAAGCTATCTGAAAACAACCAAAACAATTTCATGATAGAAAAATTTAATAAAACCTAATCTGTGTTTCTAACATGCTTTGCGAAAATAAATGTAGGTAGGTATGCTATTCATTACAAACAAATTACTATCTACAAAATATGTCTGATCATAATATTGGATTTTTAGTGAAATAATAAATTATGGTAACCATATTGTAACCATTGTAGGTATTTCGATATATTCTTACATTAACGTGTTCGGGGAAGTTGTTACAGTAACAACCTGGCCCCAGATTATTGTAACAACTGGCCCCACGTGTACGAAATGAGGTTAAGTCAACGTTTTTTGGTAAATATTGAGAATCAATTACTAACAATAGCATGCCAATATCGAGAAATATATACGCTTCAAAACTATATAATACACATATTTATACTACTTACCAATTTCTCACAAATAAAAACAAAAGCCACCTGACAACGGTACAGTTTTAGACCCGAAACCACATTCTAAGCAATAACACTATGATCGATGGATGTCTGACTTGAGTATCAATATCCGTTCACAGATGACGGGTCGGTTGACCCAACTTTCCATAAAATATCGGCAACTCATGATACTTGTTGCGTTTTAAAATAATTGTGTAACAACTTGCCCGTGTAACAACTTGCCCCCCTCTCCCCTACCTCATACGAGGCAATGTTGCCGATTTTAGGGCTTTATGTAGTGTGCAATATCTAATCCAAGACTTAACGTACTCTATGCAGAGAAACTAATAGGCTGACCAAATTTTCACCGTCATAGAAATTTAAATAACTTGCAATGAATACAAAATGACTACATGCTCTATTCACAGACTCCAAACAGATCTATGATAGAGTGTATAGAGGAAAAATGAACGATGGACTAAGATCCAGACAATTGAAAATACCAGAGAAATTAATTCAATTAGTAAGAATGACCTTAGAAAGAACAAGTCACGTTATAGTTTGGAGTAGGCATACATCGGAAAAGTTTTTAGCACAAAAAGGCCTGAGACAAGGTAACCTATCGAAAGTAATATTCAACCTAGTTTTACCGTAGCAGAATAAAAACCATGAAACAATCTACAGTAATGAACATCAGTTTATGGCTTTCGCCGATGACCTGACGCTGCTATAAAAAAAAACAAAAAATAAATTGCAAAAAATTACAAAAAGATTAGAAAGAGAGCAACGAAATTCGGCATAAAGCAAAGTACTAAATGCTGTATTGTTTTCTTTTGACAAACGTTAATGGGTAAAACATTCTTACATTTTTTTAATTCTTATTATAACTATATTAATTTTATGTTAAATTAAGTGATAAATTAAATTACTAATAAAATTTTCGTTTCAGATTCTGAGTTCGTTCATGTTGTCTATATCTGCGATCGTTATGTCATATCTACAAAATCCGCAACCTATGACTCCACCATGGGCATCTGCAACTAGTTAGAACTTATTGCAAACATCGAGATAACCAAAAATTTAACTTTGACTTTTATTTTCTATTTCTATTGATGTTTATTGTTAGGAACGGATGTTAAAGGATTATAGCAATGGTAGATTATTTACAAACTGTTAATTTGAAATAAAGTTAATGTTATACTTGCCTTTTTGTATGTAATATCTTGAAATATCTGATTATAAATTACCATCCACCTGATTAGGTATACCAGAGGTAGTCCAATATTTTCTTTGGCCGAACTATGAATTTGAAAATAAAATCGGATTCATCAAGGTATGTAAAGTAAAATTCTAAAGGTTACTTCATAACTACCAGTAGGTAGGTACGTACAGTTTAAACCACAAAAGATATCGTTATAGCATAAGTAAGAAATATAGTAGAAAATCTCTTAAAAATGGACAAAAACCTTCTTCTTTTGACTGTTTAAAGCAGTGGTCACCAACCTCTTTAATGTGTTGAGCTAGTTTGTTAATTTTGGAATAAACAGCGAGCTACCCACACGGAAGCCACGTAACGCAACGTAAATGAAATAATGCACAGTTAATCTATCATGATATGTATTTATTTTACTGTTTAACTGGTAATACATAATACATAGATAGGTACTAATAATAAACTAATAACAGAATAACTAATATTACTAGTACGTACTTGTTCATAGCTACATTCCTACCTATCAAACGAAGGTATTTGAAAAATAAACCCAAACTTTTATCCAGCCACAACGGCATGTCACGTATGATTTAAAAATAGTTAATAATAACAACAAAAAAGTAACGCACTATCATAAACATAAACATTGAAAAATAAAAAAGCACGTTCAATGAGAAGGCTGACAGTCAGACTCATCGATAATTTTTTTAATGTTTGCAGTATAATTTGATGCAACCATTCGAATACAATTATCCAAATGTTCATCTGTAAGTCAATTCCGATATTTGTTCTTAATAAACTTCATATTCACTTTCAAGGCAACACAGCATAGAACTGAGTATTTGTCTTTACTTACAATAGGCCAGATACATTCAGTACTTGAGACTAACGATTTTAAGGCTAAATCATTTTGAAACTCAATAACTTCCATTTCTGTTGCAGCGATGTCTTCGCCAAAGTTCTGTATAATACAAGCTGCAAACTGCTGGATATCAATTTCCATAAAGGGTAAAACAACAAACTGCGCTAATAAAGCCATTTCATTGAAATCCTTAAAACGATTTTTGAAGTTACTCTTCAGGGTAGAAATTATTTCTACATGATATTTGTTACCATAGGAATGGATTTTGAGATATTTTTTCTGAAAGAATAGGAAAATGCTTGGAATTGCTATTAATTATGCTTTGTTCCCAAAACTCCAGCTTTTTGATAAATGCTTTTATATCAGAAATCATTTCCGTTAGTTCTTTGTCTCTACCCTGAAGCTGCAAATTAAGTTCGTTTAATTTCTTTGTAATGTCCACGAGAAAACCAAAATCTCTAAGCCAGATTGAATTTTCTAGTTCCGGAGTCGGTTCATCGCGTTCTTTGAAAAATTGAACTATGCCAGATAGGACATCATTAGAGTGAAGGAGTAGGTCCCGTATTGATAGTTAACTTCATCGGCCAAGTTTATGAATAATCTTCTTTGTAACGCTTGAGCTCTAATTTTGTTCACAATTTTTACCACCAGTTTCATAACGTTGTTTAGTTTCAGGAAATTTCCACATAATGCTTGCTGATGGATAATGCAGTGGTAACAGAGAAATTACGGAAAAGTTTCATCTTTACGACACCTTTTTCGATACCTTCCAATTTCGAAAAGCCTACCATTTTCGATATTGGAATTTTCTCGGAAGAAATAATATTTTTAAATGAGAAAACAACTCCTGTCCAGTAGTGTGTCTTTTCAGTGGAATAAACTTCAAAAGATCTTCTTTAATCGTAAAATCACTAAAAACCATCCTGACGAACACGGCCATCTGGGCAGTGTCAACGACATCTGTTGATTCATCCAGTTGAAGTGAAAAATAAACACAGTTATGTATAAACAAAGTCAGTTCTTAACTGTAAAAAAATATCATTGCTCATTACTTCTACACGTCTCATCACTGTATTAGCAGAAAGTTGCATAGATTTTATAGCTGAAACTATCTCGTCTTTATTTCTAAAGTTGGCAAATAACGAATCAGTACCTTCTAAAAACGCCTGTTTTATCATTTCCTCGTCTAAGGCATCTATAAAATAAGAAAATAATTTTATGACAATCAATTCGTTCTAAAATCCTACCGCATGCCTTTGACTTGTCGATTTCCTTTCCCCTCAAACCAGCAAATCTAAAATTAACTTAAATATACAGTTCAAGATTTTTTCCGCGCTCTTTTTTTACTTATTTCAAAAGTATAAAACCTAAAAATATTTTTTAAAACGTGGGTTTTTTCATTATTACGATTGTAATTGGTCGGAATATTAATTGCACAATGCAACAATTAACAAGGAATCACTTAAAATACTGATACATTCATATAATTTTTTCCTTTTTCCATATTCTCTTCTTGACTATCATCATTCAATTCGATAATAAATTTATTTCGACCATTAATGTGGAAGTGCCCAATCTTTTTATAGTATCCTTCAACATTTATCACTTTGGCGATTCTTTCCTGCCGGTCTTCTTTGGTAATATTAGATATTTCTTTTTTACTTATCTCAATTACCTTCTTATCGAAATTGGAAAATGTATTGCACGCCTTAAGGCGCGTACTGACTTGAGCAAATTTATTAGCAGGAATACTGTGTGCCTAAAAATGCTCAGGTTTGTGCATGTGCCCACATAAAGTTTTCCCGCACGAATGCTATCCGTCAGGCAATTTGCTCAATGTGGACGGCATTTGTGAATGTAGTGGTTGTGCTCGTACACTGTACAGGCTGATTTTAGTTAAAAACTGTTTAATTCGAAATAAAAAAAATGGAGTGGAGTAACGAACAGTGCTTGCAGTTGACGATTATGAACAACATCAAATTTTATGGAATGCCAAACATTCTTCGCTTTTTTTTGTCGAAATTCAATGAGTAGCCAAGTATTGTAAACAATTTTAAAGTAAAGGAACGTGAACACACGTGAAACAAGTTTATGAATTAAACCAGGTTCATTTATATTCACAATTTTCTAAATAAACATATAATATGTAACAATATTATCAATTATTCTTACCTTTACAGTAATAACCACATAATAATTTGGATAATCACAAAGAGCCTTGCATGTTTCGGGAATGATGGGAGATATAAGCTGTTTTGAAACTTTAAAAAGGCATTGCATACTTGTATACGAATCTCCGGTTGCTAAGCAATGTAGAGTTATGGCAAGTCGTTCTTTAACAGAAACAGGAGTTAAAAATTTTTGTATCTATTTTGCTTATTTTAGCACCGATCATATTGATTAGTATTTCAAAATATATCTAAGACATATCAATAAAATTTTTAAATTTGTTCAATGGTTTCTTGAAATTTTAAATCTCTAACAAAACAGTTCCACTATATATCTACCTGCTTCTATACAATTGTATTATTCACCATAGCTTATCCCCCTTTTTTCTGTTTAAGTATACTATGGTAAATTATGGTAAATCAAAATCACTAGCACGAACGCGTGTGCGCGCACAGCGCGCGTGCGAGTGAATTTGCTCAAATCAGTACTCGCCTTTTTATACTTGGTTTTAATTGTTCCCAAATTAACTCTATAGGTGTCATACCCGACAAGTACGTCACATGGATGTCCGAAGGATGTACCTCATTAAATGTCCGGACATCCGTTTACATAATTTGGACGTTCCCGGGATGTTACCAAAAAGTACGTCCCCTGGGCGTCCCAGAGATGTTCATTGGGACGTATAATCCGACAAGCGAGAGCTGGTGGGTGAGCTGCGCGAAAATAGAAAAGGAATTATTCTAAGAGAGATAGGAGAGGTACTTAATCGCGATTATAGGTATATAGTATAGGTACTTAAACGGTTATACACGATGTGAACTCCTAGCCGACTACTATGGAAATGAGCAATTCCTTCCACTTTTCAATTTGTTCTACGCGCAACCCGCCAGCTCTCGCTTGTCGGGTTATACATAGTACGTATACAGAACTTAATACGGACTTAAATAGGACCTAAGAAGGATGTATTGGGGACATCCATTATACGTCCACATGGACTAATACAGGACCTAAATGAGGATATATACAGGATCTAAAGGAACTTACAAAAAAACTAATAAAATGAAAAGCAAAAATAAATGGGATTTTTATTTATTTTTAAGTACATTACTCATACTTACTTTACAAATGTAGCAACTCACGACACAACCACAAAAATTAGAGTGCGCGCAAGCACTCTTGACCACGGCGCAGTAGATGAAATTTGGTTTAGTCACCACTTCCGTGTGAAACGCATTGTACTATGCACTGTATAATTCCATTTACAATAGAACCTTTCTGCCTTTACGTGAATTTGACTCCGCTTTCGCGCAGCTCCATGGTCAAGAGTGCTTGCGCGCACTATACCTAAAAAATTCCTATATCCTACCTACTTAAAGACTATAATAATAAATTACCAAACTATAAACTAGTATCGAGACAAATAATTCTAATTACAACCACAATCACAATGATTATAATTCGAGAAATAAAAGATTCCGAAAATGCTAGCTAAAAATAAAAATGCGTTAAAAAGAAACATAAATACAAAGAGATAAATAGAAGCGTCGTTAAAACATAACCACATTCTTGTTTCATCTTCTAATTTTTAAATTTCAGTTCCAATACATAACAAAATTTTAGAGATACAGCTCTGCTATAGGATTAGGATTTTTCTCTAAAAGGGGCCTGTCTGTTTTCGTATAAATTAATGGTATTTAAAACTAAATATAACTTTTTAAATAAAAGTTTAGTAGGAAGATATTATATTTTGTAAAAAATATGCTTAAGTAAAAAAATGACACAGTTAACATCCAGAATACATCCCTCATGGGACGTCCCTGGTATGTCCGACTTGAAATATCGCTTGGACATCCCTCGGACGTCCAAAAGGAGTCCCGGGACCGTTGGACCTTAAAATGGCATAAAATGGACGTCCCAGGGATGTCTTTTGCTGTCTGGGACCAAGTTTCATCTATATAGTAAATTCGCCTACTATTTCTTGCCTATATTTAGCAATTTATTCTAGGTACATATTACGTCTGTTGACTATTCTTTGGTGTTCCATGACGTTGAAATATACTTGCTGTGTTTCTGCATTTAAATGCGTTCGAATCTTCTTTACGGGTACTGTTTTTTTCAGGAATTACACCGGCACTTGCACTTTCTACAAAATCAGTGTTGTTATCATACGTAATACTTACCACATTGTCCAATGGACGCCACATCACTACTCAAAATAATTAAATTACAGCAAACAAACCTACACTCAGTAAGGAACTGTTTCCCAACTCAAATCTAAAACCTAAAACGTTTCCGACAGACCTATTCGCTCCGTGGGTCTCCCCTCTATTTACAGTCACGTGACACGTTGTCAGATTTGTGACGACGTTGTAGTATTGAGTCTTATGGGATTATTTTGTTAAACTTAAATATTTCATGTTGTAGTGTTAATATCCGGATACAATTTTTAGAATTAATTAGTTATTTATTTATAGTGACATTTATAGTTCAACAAAAATATTTTTTGTCGTTAATAAAGATTTATTAACATAATCTGCGAAAGTGAGGTTATATATACATTATCAACATCCATGGTACAATGAATATGTTCATTAAATTTCAAGCAATCGCCACCATGAGCAGGTCAGTCGATTTTGCTTTCACACTTTGTTAAAGACTACACTATAATGCACACCCTAACTTGGCGTGATTGGTCACAGCATAAGAGGTGTCTTATGCTGTGTTCAGTTTATGTATCTCTCTGTTTGGCGGTGGTTTGGTGAATTATAGTGTAGTCTTACTGAATGTAATGCAGTAAAAAAGGGGATGAACAGAAATTGCATGTTTCTGAAAAACCATAATCTCATACAAAAAGCGGAGAGGTACGTAGTCCCTGGAAGAGAACAGAAAAGTTTAGAGGAAAATACTTAGAAAAGACGATTCCACATAGAGAAAGCTAATGAGAATAATAATGTTAATGAATGTTCTACAAATAAAAATAATAAGAGGAACCTCTAAATCTTAATAAA